GGTGAAGAGAGGCGAGGCAAGGTCTTGGCAGGAAGCGACCCTGAAAGCTGGGTGGCCTGCTACTGGGATCTGGGTGGTGGGTCCATCAGAAAAGGGCCCCAGCCAGTGTCTGGAGAGATTGAGGGCATGGCAGAGAGAGACTAGACTCCATAGAGAAGGCACTAGCAAGAGCTGGACAGGCCGCCATCATGGAAGAGGGGTACTGGCAGGGCAACTGATTCAGAAGTGCAAATCTCTGGTGTGCAGGCACAAAAGTGCCAGGCAGCAGCCCCACAGCATGACGGTGATATTAACACATTGACTGCTCTATGTGGGAGTCAGTCAGCCCCACAGTGGGCTGAGCTGGCAGATGAAAGTGATGCCAGGTGTCTGGAATAAGGAAGGCAGGTGTGGGAGTCGGTCAGCCCCAGAGTGGGCTGAGCTGGCAGATGAAAGTGATGCCAGGTGTCTGGAATAGGTAAGACAGGTGTGGTAGAAGTGGAGGATGGCCCCCAATGCCTGCTCTTCCCTTCTGCCCTGGTATTAGAGCTCCCAAGTTTTATTAATAACTAGGCACATGGTCATCAACCTCCCTTGCAGCTCAGTGTGATCATGACCTTCTTCTCCTGCTATCCTTCCTCTGGTGGACATGCAATGGCCAGAACTCCAGCAGCCATTTGAGACCATAAGGTGGGTTTGGCATGGTGGCTCATGCCTGTAATATCAGCGCTTCGGGACACCAAGGTGAGGGGATCACTTGAGGCCAGGAGTTGACACCAGCCTGGGCAACCAAAGTATAAGTGCATCTATACAAACTGTTGGTCCACAAAATGCAACAAGAATTTTGAAGGCGGGGTGTGATGGCTCATGCTTGTAAGCCCAGCAGTTTGGGAGGCTGAGACAGGGAGGATCACTTGAGCCCAGGAGTTTGAGAATAACCTGAGCAACATAGCGAGATCCCTACTCTACAAAAAATATATAAATAAATAAATAAACTAGGTATGGGGGTGTGTTCCTGTAGTCCTAGCTACATGGGAGGCTGAGGTGGGAGGATTGCTTGAGCCAGGAGGTTGAAGCCGCAGTGAAGTGAGCTATAATCAAGCCTGGGTGGCAGAGTGAAATCCTGTCTTAAAAAAATTAAAAAGACCACAACTTGGATACTCTTGCTGCAATTTATGGAGCAGGAACATGGAGGCTTCCTGGCGTTTGCAAAACCGCCAAGTACCAGAACAGTCTCCCCTCTGCTCACTTCCAGACTTGGTTTCTATTAGACAATTACATGCGTATCTTGCTACATTTATTAGTATTCGAGGTTCTTTATCATTTCAAATTAAGCTGAAGTTAATTTTAACTAACTTGGCAAGGACGACATTTTCTTGTTTTTATTTTACTTTAATTTTCTAAGATGAGTTTCACTTTTTGTTGCCCAGGCTGGCGTGCAGTGGCGTGATCTCAGCTCACTGCAACCTCCACCTCCTGGGTTCAAGCGATTCTCCTGTCTCAGCCTCCTGAGCCTCCTGAGTAGCTGGTATTACAGGTACATGCCACCATACCTGGCTGATTTTTGTATTTTTGTAGAGATGGGGTTTCACCACATTGGCCAGGCTGGTCTCGAACTCCTGACCTCAGGTTATCTGCTCACCTTGGCCTCCCAAAGTGCTGGGATTACAGGCATGAGCCACCACACCTGGCCTGTTTTTATTTTTGATTCAGCAGGTACATGTGCAGGTTTGTTACAGGGTATATTGCATCACACTGAGGTTTGGGTTTCGCTTGATCCCATCACTGAAATAGTGAACATAGTACCCAACAGGAGGTCTTCCCAGCCATTTCTACCTCCCTCCCGCCCCTCTTTTGGAGTCTCAGTGTCTGTTATTGCCATCTTTATGTCTGTGGGTCCCCATGTTTAACTCTCACAGGTGAGACCATGCAGTATTTGGGTTTCTGTTTCGCATCAATAGGACTGACATTCTCTAATTCTGGCTCCCCCTCCCAACTCCCTTCCTATAGCACAGATTCTATATAAACTCATTCTAGTTTGAATTGATAGGAACTTAAAGTTACTTTAAGTGAGCACAAACACGTTCACCAACCTGAATGTTCCAGAACATGTTGTAATTGCTGCAGCTGTTTCAGTCCACTCCCGTCCCTTCCACCCTGCCACCCCCACCCCCCACCAGGGTCTCAAGGTACCTAGGCAGTAGAAGGAAAAACTGAATTTACAAGCAGAGTGCTCTTCTCCCCAAGAAAATTCAGAGCCACAACCATCATTACCACTTTCTCAACTTCCTACCCCATTCTAATACCGGCCATGCTGGCCTGCGTCTCACTCTCTGTCTTCCATTCCTATCTCTGACAGAGCTTCGTTCCTGCCCCCCTCCCTTGGTGCCCTGGATCTCCGCTAGGACTGTAACCCAAACCTCATCTCATTGCCTCATTTCCTGTAAAACAACCGCCTCCCACAGTAATTCATCATCCCCATCGGCAATGGACCTTTTATTGCGTGTCTGTTGATATTACAGTTCTGGGTATGAGATAAAGGTGTGGTTGTAGGAATGGATCCTCAGGAAACAGACTTCGAGACAGATGTTTCTGGGGGAGCACTTAGGGGGAAACCTGTATGAGAATGAAGGAAGAAGGATTGGACAAAGAAGTTAAACTTCTTGGCAATGATGAGAGAGGGCTCAGCTCACTCCGTGGGGACCTCTGAAGATGGCTGGCCCTTCCAAGGTGTCTGGGATGGAGGCGGGGGACTGAGTACCTTAGTCCTTTGAGTGCTTTGTGTCTCCAGGCAGCACATCCGGGTTCCCACTACAGAAGCATTGAAGGATTTTGGCTGGTTATGGTGAAACTTCTCAGGGTAGTGGGTTGGCTACCTCCAGTGTCTCATACTTAATCTCTGAGGCCCAGAACATGAATCTTCTTTTCCATTCTTCTTTCTTTCTTTCTTTCTTCTTTTCAAACAGAGTTTCGCTCTGTCGCTCAGGCTGGAGTACAGTAACTCAATCTTGGCTCACTGCAACCTCCGCCTCCCAGGTTCAAGTGATTCTCCTACCTCAGCCTCCCAAGTAGCTGGGACTACAGGCACATGCCACCACACCCGGCTAGTTTTTGTATTTTTAGTAGAGACAGGGTTTCACCATATTGGCCAGGCTTGTCTTGAACTCCTGACCTCCTGATCTGCCTACCTTGGCCTCACAAAGAGCTGGGATTACAGGTGTGATCCACGGAGACTGGCCCACAGTTTTTTTTTTTTATATGTCCATAGCTGATTAGTCTTTCTGTGACAAGTCACACTAATTAAATTTAGACAAGACAAATGAATACATGACAAATGGATTTGTTTAGAATGAGATGGTCCCTTTGCAGCAATCAAAGTGCCTGTGTTCCTGCATGTTCTCACTTGTTAGTAGGCGTTGAACGATGAGAACACATGGGCGCATGGTGGGGAACAACACACACTGGAGCCTGAGGGGGGAAGGTGGGGGGAGGGAGAGCATCAGGAACAATAGCTAATGGATGCTGGCCTTAATACCTGTGTGATGAGTTGCTCTATGCAGTAACCCACCATGGCACACGTTTACCTATGAAACCTGCACATCCTGCACATGTACCCCAGAACTTAAAAGTTGATAGAATAAAAATGTCTGTGTTCTTTATATCTAACATCCATTTCCCAGTGTCAACACAGGGGAAAGATGATAGCTGTGGAGAGGTCTAGAAATCATTAAGTCCAAGTTAAAGCAGGAAGTCAGCATGGTCCAGGAAATCTGTCTGCGAGAAGGAAAATCAAAGGTATTTGATGCCTCAGATGGAATGAGTAAGAATTGGCTGGGCGCAGGGTCTCATGCCTGTAATCCCAGTACTTTGGGAGGCTGAGGTCGGGAGATCACCTGAGGTCAGGAGTTTGAAACCAGCCTGGCCAACATGGTGAAATTCTGTTTCTACTCTAAGTACAGAAATTAACCGGGCGTGGTGGCGCATATCTGTAATCCCAGCTACTCAGGAGGCTGAGGCAGGAGAATCATTTGAACCCGGGAGGTGGAGGATACAGTGAGCCGAGATGGTGCCACTACACTTTAGCCTGGGCAAGCAAGAGTGAGACTCTGTCTCAAAAAAAAAATTTAAAAGGCTAGAAAATATTCATGATGCAGTAAAGACAATATGTTTCTTCTCTCTATTAAAAAAAAAAAAAAAAAAAGGAAAGTCTAGGAAAAACTCAAAAAGGTACAAGAAAATCGTGGTCCAAATAGAGGAAAAATAAAATGAATCATAATTTTGAGTAACTGCAGGGATGTAATAAAAGAGAATCCATTAGGCTGTGCTCCCAAGAACATGCTCCTTTGAGTCACCAAAAAGGTGGTGACATTGAACCCAAGAGGAAGAAATGTGGTCCTAACAGCAGTCTGTGACTCTCCAGGGAACAGTATTTACCTGCTCACGATAATGTGAATGCAGCTCATTGGCTTTCAACTAGGAGAATTAACCCACAGACCAAGCACAGAGGATTCATCATGGTTGCAGAACCAAGCGTACTGTTACCAGTCAGAACAATGGAAAGACCAAGAGCACGCTGGCAGAAATTGAAAGGAGAAAGTAGGGGAGCGGGTGTCTCCGTCTCATACTGTGAAGTTAAGAAATACTGTTTTAAGTTCGTGGAATGAGGCCATGCGTGGTAGATCATGCCTGAAATCCCAGCACTTTGGGAGGCTGGGGCAAGAGAATCACTTGAGGCCAAGAGTTTGAGAATAGCCTGGGTAACATAGCAAGACCCTATCTCTATAAAATATAAAAATAAAAATTATTAACCAGGTGTGTTGACATGTGCCCGTAATCCCAGCTAGTTGGGAGGCTGAGACAGGAGGATGGCATGTGCCCAGGAGTTCAAGGCTGTTGTGATCCATTTTCATGCCATTGTACTCTAGCCTGAGTGACAGAATGAGGTCCTGTCTCTAAATAAATAAATAAATAAAGTTCATGAAGTGAGAACTGGAATTTTAAGTACATTACTTAAAATATAGCCGGGCGCAGTGGCTCAAGCCTGTAATCCCAGCACTTTGGGAGGCCGAGGCGGGTGAATCACGAGGTCAAGAGATCGAGACCATCCTGGTCAACATGGTGAAACCCCGTCTCTACTAAAAATACAAAAAGTTAGCTGGGCATGGTGGTGCGTGCCTGTAATCCCAGCTACTCAGGAGGCTGAGACAGGAGAATTGCCTGAACCCAGGAGGCGGAGGTTGCGGTGAGCCGAGATCACGCCATTGCACTCCAGCCTGGGTAACAAGAGCGAAACTCCGTCACAAAAAAAAAAAAAAAAAAAAAAAAAAATTATATAAGTAGCCAATGGAAGGATTAAAAATACTATTAAAACCACCAAACTTTACACCGGAGAAGGGAAAGTGGAGGCAGAGTTAGTGGACATTCATCTTTCAAGATGGGTCGATCATATATATGATCGGTAAATTATGAAGGAGAAGCGTAAGCCTGTGAGTTAAGGTTATGGAGGTAACCACCAGAAAAACAGAAACAGTCAGGCGTTGTTTTTGGGGAACAGCTGCCGGTGGAGGCGATGTGGGAGGTAGAAGGTTACTTCTGCTGCATTTTTATTTTTCTTATCCTATGCATTTATTTCTTGTAAATTATGGAAAACAGGTATGGTTTTAAAAATCACCAGGCAGAGTTTAATTACTAATCAAAAAGAGGTTTGGCAAGGATAGACTCAGAATGGTTTGGGGGACAGGTCTCTTATGTTCTAGAAAAGCCCAGTGAAATCCTCCTCCCAGTAATGGAGAACACGTTTTTGGTGTTCTCCCTAATGTCTCTACTGAAAAGAAGCGGGTCCCACAGACACATTTAAATGTGCCAGACTCTTTCTTTCACAAACCTCTCCTTTGTGTCCCGACAAGACAGAGGACCACCTCTGACTTCTCCCCAATAAGCTCATTCAATCCTTTGTTGCTCAAAATAGGAAATAACCAGAGCCATGGTCCTAATGGTGGCAGCACATTAGACTTTCTTGTGGAGTTTTAAAAATATACCCTTGCCCAGGCCCCACCCCAGACCAATGAAATCTGCAGCCCCGGCTTTGGTACTTTTTTATTTAAAAAAAAAATAGTGTGCTTCTATTGTGCTTCTATTGTGCGGTTGGAATGGAGAGGCGTGGGGCCAGTCACTGTGTGCTGCTCATCAGAGGACTGAAACAGGCCCACCTCAAGGTAGCTCGCACTTCCTTCATCATCGCCGTCCTTGGAGCGTAGTCATACCCTGCTTTCCCCACCCCCGCTTCTCACTGCCCGTTCACTCCCCAGGCCCTGCTGTATGGCTTCCCTGCTGCCCGTGCCTCTGGGGAACTGCCCCTCCTCATTCTCCCCAGTGAACGGCTAGTTGCTATGTCCGATGAGTTCTTCAGTGCCTACGCTTCTTCTCTGTGCAGTGTTTGAGCCTGCTGACAATTCCTCCTATCCTCACATTCCTTCCTTGTTTTCTTTGACCCCCCGCTCTCCCTGACTCTCTTCCTTCCTCCCTGCTCAGCCATCTCAGTGGTTTCATGAGAACCTTCTCCTGCTTGCCTGGGCCTCTTCTCTCCATCCCAAATCTCTCTGCCTGCGTGGACCGCCCCGCCGCCTTGGCTCACATTCTCGCAGGGGTTTCAAGTACCTTCCTGACTACTATTATCAGCTCACTGAGGATGGCCTCAGGCCTTCACTCCATCCCAGACGGGCTATCTGATTGTCTGCTGGACATTTCCACCTGATGTCTTACAGATACTTCAATCAAAACTTTCCCCCAAATGAAACTCATCATCTATTGCCCAAACCCCTTCTCCCATCTTCCTTGCTTTGTGGAATGGCCCTAGTTATCCAACCCCACTCAGTTATACAGCCCAAACTCCAGAAATGTCCTAGACACATCCCTTTTCTGCCACCCACGAACATCCAGTTAGTTCCATCTTAGTTACTCCCTCTGCTCCGTCTCTGCCAGGCCTTCAAGTCTGTCCATCATCATCTCCTCCCTGGGTGGCTGCAGTGGCTCACTTAGGTCAGGGAACAATCATTCCAACCCACAAATCTGACGATGTCAATCTCCTGTCTAAGACCGTTCAATCGCTTCCTCATGGCCTTCCAAGTCCAAACTTAGAAAGATCCACCAGGCAATAATAACTTACTGCTCCCTGCCTCTCCAGTTTCAGCACCTGCTAGGCTCAACACATGCCCGGTGCGTCTGTGCACACTGATGGTACCCACCCCCACCTTCCCAATCTGCCAGGCTGCTTCCTCCCAGCTTTCCAGCTTTCCCCTGAAGTCTCCGGGGCCTGAGAATACCCTCTCGTTGTTTTCTATTCACACTTCAGACTTTTGCTCAGACCTTACGACATTTAACTCACCTCCTCCTCCTATCTATTTTAGGGTCTGGCAAACAGTAGGTGCTCAAGCAACGTTTACAGCATGAACAAATACACAGTGCTGTAAATTTTAAAGTGGGGTGTAGTATTACTACATGAAGAAGGTACAAAAGATAATGGTAACATATATCTAACTCTCAAATACATTGACTTTAAAGGAAGGTTCTCAGTGTGCTCGGAAGAGCCCTGGGGACCCCCAGGGAGCTGCCTGAAAGGCCCCTGATGGGGATCTCCATTTTTAAGCAGGAATACTTTCATCTATTTTACATGTTAGTCTTTGAGAAAGATCTAGCTTGAACAGGGTGTCTTGTGAGTAAGGAAAATATGAAAAACAATGCTCTAAATTATTCAAACAAGGTGAAACATAATTTCCAGGTTAATTATCCCCACACAAAAAAGTTCTCATATATCTATTTGGGTTTTTTTTTTTCCAAACTGCCACAAGAATGTATTTTTCTTGATTTTCCTTACTGTCTTAGTGACATGAGCATTTTTTTTTTGGCTTTTAAAAAACTTATTCTTTTGAATCAACTGTATATGCATATGGTCAAAAGCTAAGAGAGATAGAAAAGGAATTCAGTGAACAATTAGCCTCCTCACAAACACCCTGTTTCCATCCTCTGGAGACAGTGCTGTGGCTGGCTTCAGCACACACACAATTCCAGAGATTTCTGTTTGGGGACCACTGCTCTGCTGGGCAGGAAGCACATTTCCTTGGTGGGGACAAAGGAAGGACAAGTCTTCTAAATGTCGTGGACATGGTTTAATCCTTACAAACTCAGAGTGGCCTCAAAAGACACCTGGCCCACTATCCAATGACCGTCAGGAAGAAGGGCTTAACATCAACTTTCCCAATATCAAACCGTTTTTTGGCACACAACCTCTAGCATTTGCTTGGCTCACAGCCAAATACCCATTTAGATCAGCTTATTTACTTATCTAGGGGTACATTTTTCTCCTAATACATTATGGAGGATTTATCAGGAAATTACACTACTCAAAATGAGATGTCTGTGGGTGCTTTGTTGAATATATGTATTTTAATGATAGAGTAAGCATTTGATATTTTAGTAAGTGGTGTTGGGACAATTCACTCAAATGAAGAGAAAAGAAAAACTTCATAAAGAAAATAAAATTTCTACCTATTGCTACCACCAAAATACATTAAAGATGTACTGAAGACTGGAACAAGGGGAAAATACACTAAAACTGTCAGAAAAAATTATGATACCTTTTTGGATTTTGGAGAGAAAATGTTTTTTCCTTTCTATTATTTTGAGACAGAGTCTCGCTTTGTCACCTAGGATAGAGTGCAATAGTGTCGTCTCGGCTCACTAGAATCTCCGAATCCTGGGTTCAAGCAATTCTCATGCCTCAGCCTCCCAAGTAGTGGGGATTACAGGCATATGCCACCATGCGCGGCTGTTTTTTTCTTTTTTAAAGGAGATGGGTTTTCACCATGTTGGCCAGGCTGGTCTCAAACTCTTGGCCTCAAGTGATTCACTGCCTCAGCCTCTGGCGATTACCGGTGTGAGCCACCTCACCTAGCCAGAAAATACTTTCTTTAAGACAATACCAAAAAATACAAACTATAAACAGAGGTCCATCTAATTATACCTGATTTAAAACCTTTTGTCCAAAGAACACCATGAACTAGATTAAAAGACAGTGGGAGCTTCGGAGAAAGTTATCTGCAGAAGATGTAACAGACAGAGGATTGTGAGCTAGAATGTATGGGATCCAAAAAAGAAAAAAGAATGTACATGATCCCTACAAATCAGGTAGAAAAAGACATACAACCCAAAGGAAAAACAGACCAAAAATATGAACTGAAAATGTATAGGAGAGGAAATAGTAAAAGGCAATGTATATATTTAAAAATTGATTCAACTTCATGCGAACAGGAAAGTGCCGTTAGAACTTTATGTTTTTTTTTGGCCTATCACATTGCCAGAAATCTTGAGTCTGAGAATATCAAATGTTGATTAAGCTGCGAGGGAAATGGTGCCCTCATTCACTGTTGTTGGGAGTGTAAATCAATGGAAATATTTGAGAGAACAATTTAGCAGCATTTTGTAAATTTGAAAACATATGTCCCCTGTAATAGCACTTTCATTTCTACATATTCACCCCCTCAGGTGCTCACAAAAGCCCTGTGCAAGGATGTGTATTTGTGTTTCGTTTCCGTCTAAATGTCCACCATTAAGACTGGCTAAAATACTATGGTGCCGGTGGTCTGCGGAACACTCTGCTGCCTGTGTTAATTTTTTCGGGCTGCTGTAACCAACTACCACAGGCTGAATGGCTCAGACAACAGAAGTTGATTTTCTCACCGTTCTGGAGTCTAGCAGTCTGTGGTCAAGGTGTGAGCAGGGCTGGTTTCCTCGGAGTCCCCTCTCCTTGGGGCTAGAGACGGCTGTTTTCTCCCTGTGTCTTCACATGGCCTTTAAAAAAAAATTCAACTCTTAATTTAGATACGGAGGCATACGTGCAGCTTTGTTACTTGGGAATATTGCGTGATGCTGAGATTTAGGGCACAGATCCCCTCACCCAGGTAGTGAGCACAGGAGCTGATAGGTAGTTTTTCAATTCCTGGCCCCTCTCTCCCTGCCCCCTCTGGTAGCCCACAGTGTCTGTTCTTCCCATATTTACGTCCATGTGTGCTCACTGTTTAGCATCCACTTGTAAGTGAGAACATGTAGTATTTGGTTTTCTGTTCCTGTGTTCATTCCCTTAGGATTATGGCCT